ATAAAATAAAAAGATTGCAAAAAAAAAATGTTATTATATCTATAACCAATAACTATTCATTGTTTTTCACCTCCGTCGAAAATCACATCCACTTATTTTATTTCCCATACATTTTATTTATAAAAAAAAATTATTATACGCCAAAATTTACAAGTCCTCTCTCTCTCTCCTTTTATATAGACCACTGGCACTCTTTCTCCGTGTGTATAGTTGTTCTTCTTCTCTATCTCTCTTCGTGTCCGTTTCAGACAAAACAATGTCGGGAGGATTAAACTGTTCGGCCGCAGCCTTGTCGTCGCTGCTCGGCCCGAACGGCACGGCAGCCGCCGACTACATATGCGGCCAGTTCGGTGCGGTGGACACCAAATTCACGGACGCATCCTTCGCCATAGACAACACCTATCTCCTCTTCTCGGCTTACCTCGTCTTCGCCATGCAACTAGGGTTCGCCATGCTATGCGCTGGCTCGGTACGCGCCAAGAACACCATGAACATAATGCTCACTAACACGCCTTCGCCTTTGGCTCGCCTTCCAATGGATTCATCGGCAAGCACTTCTTCGGCCTGAAGTCGTTCCCGACCTCTTCTGCTGATTACTCTCACTTTCTTTACCAGTGGGCTTTCGCTATTGCGGCCGCCGGAATCACCAGTGGCTCGATCGCGGAACGGACCCAGTTCGTGGCTTATCTTATTTACTCGTCTTTCTTAACTGGGTTTGTCTACCCGGTCGTGTCTCATTGGTTCTGGTCCGCGGACGGGTGGGCTAGCCCGATTAAGACCGGTGGAGATCTATTGTTCGGGACGGGAGCCATTGATTTCGCTGGATCAGGCGTCGTGCACATGGTCGGAGGGATCGCCGGACTATGGGGAGCCCTAATCGAAGGCCCTAGAATCGGACGGTTCGGTAGTGGAGGACGAGCCATCGCTCTACGTGGCCACTCGGCCTCTCTAGTCGTTCTTGGCACGTTCCTCCTGTGGTTCGGCTGGTACGGGTTCAACCCCGGTTCGTTCCTCAAGATCCTCAGTCCGTACAACTCATCCGGCTCGTTCTACGGACAGTGGAGCGCGGTCGGACGGACAGCCGTCACAACGACCCTAGCCGGCTCGACGGCGGCTCTGTATTTGGACGCAATATATATATATATGATGGGGCATACCCGCCGGCTGCTGGGTGGTGGAGCCATGGGCGGCGATAATCTGCGGGTTCGTGGCAGCCCTCGTCCTCATCGGTTGCAACAAGCTGGCCGAGAAGATGAAATTCGACGATCCGCTCGAGGCCGCTCAGCTACACGGAGGGTGCGGGGCTTGGGGCCTGATCTTCACCGCCCTATTCGCCACCGAGAAGTACGTGGAAGAGGTCTACCCAGGAAAACCGGGCCGTCCGTACGGTCTGTTCATGGGAGGAGGAGGAAGGTTGCTTGGGGCGCAAGTGATACAGATTCTGGTCATTGCCGGTTGGGTAAGCGCGACGATGGGGACGCTGTTTTTCGTGCTGCACAAGATGGGGTTGCTTCGGATATCGGCCGAGGACGAGATGCAGGGCATGGACATGACACGGCATGGAGGGTTTGCTTATATATATTATGATGGTGAAGACGAGTCTCATAAGGCAATTCAACTGAAGAAAGTGGAACCTGCTTCCACATCTCCGAATACTCCTGTCTGAATTCTCGATTCTGTTTTTTTTTTTTTGGAAGAAAGTTTGGAGTTTGTAAATTGTGTAATGATCTTTATATATGCTGAAAATTCTATTGTCTCTTTGTTTCGAATTTCATAAGATTCTTGTCGCTTTTGGATTTGAAATTGATGATGATATTTTGTGTTTGTTGATTTATCTTTGAATCGATGCAAATATATAGTTTAAAGAACATGCACTGTTGGGATGATTTGTAGAATTCATATATCTGAAATGCGGTATGTGATATTCATATTTGTGAAACAAGGTATGAAATTGGCACTAAAATGTAAATTATAAATATGGATGCAATATCTATAAAATACCCAAAAATATAGGGGTATATATGTTATTTAGAATTTTCTGATTGATCTCTCTGTCCGCACATGTGAAATGTGGGCCCAGAATCTCCAAGAAGTCAGAAAACCTAACAATATCTTAATTTAAATGATTTAAAGTGGGGCCCATATTCCAAAGTCTTGGCAAGATTCCTACGACGAATGGACGTACGTACACGGAAAAGAATCGAGGAAATTTCCGTCCACATGACAGAAAAAAGAGGAGCGAATAGTCCATTAGAGATAAATTAATATTTCTGAATTATAACAACCGCATTTTTCTGTAAATTTTATAGGTTTTGTCTAGAAAAAAAATACAAATGTTTCTGTAAATTAAATGTGACAAATATGTCTCTATAGATTGTGTGGATTATGATTTTAGTGAAAAATGCGACGATTAAAATACAATATAATAAATCGATGGTTACTTTGGCAAAAAAACCAGATATATTTTTTTAAGTGTAAAATAATATTTAATGCAAATATATATGAATAAATAGAGTCGTAAGCGGACGACCAATCATGACGCCAAACACCAACATGGTATGTCGATGCTTTTGTTCTTCTTGTTTTTTTCCCCTCCAACCACACTTTATTACACCAAGCCAATTGTTTTTTGTCTTCATTCTTTTTGGAAAAAAAAGCTTTACTTTTTTTTTTCTTGATTGCAGATGAGCTTTTACCAATGGGTGAAAAGGAAGGTGGAGCTTTTATATGTTATTTCCTTTTTTTTTAATCTTTGTTGTCGTTATTTTTTTTTAATTAACTTAATTTTATATCATTCATATAAAATCATAAAATTTTCATATAAATAGTGTTTTATATGGCTCTCGTCATATGTTTTTTTTTCTTTTTTTTCTAATTTTTTTATATTGGTGAATTGTCGTGACCATGTGGCTTTTAATTGCTTCACTTTATCACTTGTTCTGCACACGGTGGGTTTTCCAATCTTCATAGAAAACTTTCAAATCATATGTGTTGATGTTAATACGAAAGCAAAATTTTCTTTTTATTGGTAATTATAAGATTTCATTAATTAGTTTCCAACCACGTGGTTATTAAAATTTGTGAAGAGACTATCCATATTTTATGTAAATGATTTAATCCTATGGATAAACAATCTCAAAATTAGCAAGGTAACATTATCTCAATGAGATATATGTGGTAGTTCGAAACCTACCTTTACCTTGAGAGATGGACGAAGTCCTCTTACGAACTTCTTGACCCTTAAGGTCTCTGTTTGCAACATCTCACCTCCATATCTAGCCAATGAATTGAATTCTCTCTCATATTCTTTCATTGAACGATTTCCTTGTTGAAGGCTAATAAGCTTCATCGTCATCTCCTCTTGTACTCCAGGTGAGTAATATTTCTCTCGAAATGCATGGACGAACTGTCCCCAAGTGAACTGATAGTTTACCCCAAATGGTTGGACAACTCCTTTCCACAAGTGTATCGCCTCTCCATCCAAATGGTAGATGGATATGTGTGCCCTAAACCGATCAGGACACTGGATAAGATCAAATATCTGAGTCATCCTGTCCAACCAATCCTCTGCCACAGCTGGATCAGATGTACCACCAAATCTATCTTGGAGCTGCACGACGCTCTACTCGATCAAGAAATTGGAAAATTCCGCATTCATCATAGGTGATGCAGGTACAGGAGCTGCATCCGGTTGTACAGGAGGTGGTGGTGGTACATAAGGTGGTGGTGGTGCAGGGACCGGTTGTGGAGCTGGTGCTGCTCCTTGTTGTCTCACAATAGTGATAAGCTCCGTCAGTAAATCCCTCATTTCTTGCATATGATCCGGTTGTGGAGGATTTCCACGTCTCCCCTCCTCTGGGACTGGACGTTCTCGTCCACGACCAGGTGCCATCCTACGTTCACATCATAGCAAAAATTATTAGGATGGTGATATCATCATAAACTGCGTCCCATGGAAAGCGTGGTGAGCTCTGATACCATCTGTAATGATGTGAGGCCGCTACGGAATGATAGAGCTGTCCCCACACACCAACACGGGACCTTTTAGCGTGTTTTGTCCTCACTCACACACTTCCCGGAAAGTACTTCCCAGGAAGTCACTCATCCTAAGACTACTCCAAGGCCAGCACGCTTAACTTTGGAGTTCTCTCGAGATGGACAACCGAAAAGGTAGATGCATCTTGTTGCTATGAGTAGCTCAATTAATTCCTTTAAGTTATCTTTAGACTGTGTAGTCCCATACCTACATAGCCCTCGGATCCCTCTCATTCATGTGCGTTCGATTCATCCCTGTACCCCCTACCCAGAAGCTCGTCAGGAGCCGCCCCTTGTCCATGCCTCTTGCACCGGCGATCACTCCCCGCCCTCCTACGGTATCCTGGGTTGTCACAAAACTCTGAAAAAGAAAAGTTTTAAATTCCCGCGGATTTTTGGGATTATATTTTTATTGTAGTTGTTCATATGACGCAACTCGTATTGCGGGATACGGGTTACTTGTGTCACAGAGTCACAGACAATCACACATCGGATTTCACTAAAGTCATGTCCATAATAAAGTGAAACATAGAAGAGGAATGAATCATCGACTCTTGATGCACTTATCACAAATCGCCAAGAAATGACTAGTTCGCATCTCTAGAACCCTCTAGATACGGCAAGTGTAAGAATGTATAACAATTCTACTTGTTGCATAAAATAATAATGGATGATTATTATTATTAATATAAAAAATAAAAACAAACATAACAATATAAATCTAAAAATACAAAATAAAATTCTATATATAAAAAGAATCCAAAAGACACATTCTAAGAAAATTAAATAACATTAAACATAAGAAAAATATATGACATAACGAGAAATTGTAATTAAGATTTATATAAATACATATCTTGTGTGTATTTTTAAAATATAATATTTTATTTTATTATTGTTCTTAGGAAACATTGCAAATACAGAAACCAGATATATAAAGACTAGAAAAACTATATCCAATCGAATTAATTGTAACCACCACCTGATCCGGAGTTAGGATTATTATTCGAATTGTTTCCGGGTTCATCATATCCTGAACTGTTGTACTCTTGCTTAAACCCCGATGTAAACTCTGATCTAAAACCTTGATTATCATATCCAAACGACATAGCATTTGGAATGAACCTGTTTGTGGTTATTGCTCTTTGTTGATCCAACAAGTTAAGACCAGAACCATTGCCTCCGCCAACGTTGTTAGAAGAGTTTCCGACGTAGAACTGTCGAGGAACGGTCGATTGGAGAAGTTTTGAAGCTTGAGCTGCAATAGTTTTCTTCAGATCTTCAAGAGCACCTTTGAGCTGAGTAAGCTGTGTTATGTTGAGCTCTTCAATGGGTGATTCCCACCAGTTCTGTACATTCTTGTTTGATTTTCTTATTTTGCTTAGTTCTTCACCTCTTTTCTTCTCTGTCTCAAGCTGTCCAAGTGTCTAAACAATTTTTAAAACATGTGAATATAATATAGTTTACATCGGTGAGAATTCTAAAGACAACTAGTTATTAAATAATTTACATTCAAATTAACTAGACATCTTATTGACACATAATTACGTGTAAATATGATTAAATGAAAACGTATTCGAGACGAATATTAACCATTAAACGTTTTCCATGTTTTTACATATACATATCATGAAGACAATATAATTTACTCTTTTTTATTTTTTTTATTATAAGCTAAATAAATTATGACAAAATAACATTTTAAATTACAATAATCTTTGCATAAGTCTCAGAAAACCTAGCTTTGAAACTCAACTAGCGATGACAACGTTGTATTTGTGTGAAATTACCTGAACCAAAAACCTCACAAAACAATAAGCCGAAAAAAAAATTATTGTACCTGCGTGAGTTGAGCGTTGAGATCACAAATGGTGGCATTACGATGAGCTTCAATGAGTTGCATAGTAGTATTGTTTTGTTGATGAGGGGGAGGACCACGATTTATGAAACGTTCGATGATCGTATCAACACAAGGATGGCCGAAAGAGAAGACTTTTCGACCGGGAGAAAATACGATGATCGCGATTTCGGCACCACAAAGTGTACAAAGTTCGCTCGCTTTTTTGAAAAGCCCGGATCGTCTCTTAGAGAAAGTAACTTGAAGATTACTCTCGTTGTTCATCTTAATCATCTCTACTTTCTGACGACCCTTATTCCTTCGGACCATCTTTGTAAATTTTTGGACGGAACAAAGATATCAAAAATTAAGAGGGAGACAAAGAGATAAATGATAATGAATGATATAGAAAGGAGTTTATTGGTATTTATAATTGAAATCACAGACGAGTATTACGTATTTTTGAATTGTCAATATGTAATTTTAATTTCAAAATTTTGGTGAAAATTCATTCTCCTTTGTACAAAATTTATAAATTTACCGTTTTAAGAGCTTTTTAGAATCTGTATATTCGATAAATATATGGTATAATTTTTATAACGATTTGAACATTATATTATCTTTATACTTGTTACAATGTATCGCAATCTGCCAAATATACGCCTTCAATATTATCAATAATAGAAGACCCTTCCTTATGTTTATTTTTATTTTTCATATTTGTTTTTTTTCGTATGACTGGTGATGAGAATCGAGACTATGTTTTCCATTTTTTCTATATAGTTTTTTTCCTATTTTGAAAAAAACATTTTATTTTTATTTTGTATATAAAAAAAATTAAGGATACAACAATTTTTTTCAAGAATACTTTATCTTTATATTTTTTCATAAATACAAAACACTTGACACTAAATGAAAACAAGAAAGTACAATGTATATAATCTATATGCATCGATAGAAACTATAATTCTTGTGATTGATATATATATATATATATATATATATATATATATATATATTTATATACGAGTTATTTGTCTACAATGAATTACAATATAATTATATGTACTTAATATTAAGATTTTGAATGATTTTGTTATATATACGTACATATATGTAAACATATGAATTATTTGTCTTCAATTCATTATAGTATAATTATACTTAATAACAAGATTTTTTTAAAGTAAATAGTGAATATAACACAACCTTTTAACAAAAAAAAAAAGATTTGTAAAGATTGATTTTGCTAATATAGTTTAAATTATCTTTGTCACCATCTATTTTCTTCGTTTTTAGTGGTGGTTATTGTTCGTTGTAACCCTAATTTTATCCTCCGATCATAATAAATTATTCTTAATCTTTTTGAGATGTAGAATCAAGTATATTTTTTTTATAATTCGGAAGTTTACCGGGTTTTTAATCCGACTATATCTTCTAGAAGACCGTGGAAGTCCAGGTGAATGTCCATCCCCATGCTTGGATTTGAACATAGGGTAAGCTCATACTTTACATGTTCTCTCACCACTAACCACCTAAACCTAAACTTGGATAGAATCAAGTATATTGCATGATCTGAATTCGCAAACTGATGTGTTTTCTTTTTTTGTTTTTTATATGGGTGTTTTTATTATTCTATCAAATAATCTTGAGAGAGAAAAAAGGATGTTTCTCATGTACTAGTTAGATTATCAATAAAATCTAAAATTCTCCAATAAAAACAACAATATCATGCAGATTCTGACTCCAATAATACATTTATTCGTCGCTCGAAGACTTTTAAAAAAGATTGGAAGAAACTTGGCAACTTGCAAGCAAAAGGAAACAAGGAACATTCAATATTGGTGGCTAAACCAACCAAATACAAGTCATAATTTCACTAATTAAAAAAAAAAGAGTGTAAAAAATATGTATCATCTTTGACGTTTCATCAACGCCCGAAGCTTACGTTCCAAATATTTACCTTCTGTGTTACAATTTTTACAGCGTTGAAATCATCTGAAAAAAACGGAAGAGACATTTTTTTTTTCTTTTTAAATACATACATGATAATAAATTATGAGATATTTTATCAGATTATATCATCGGTTACAATGATAAAATATTTTATCATCTAAAATTTGATTAGAGTTTTCTTCTATGTCATGTGGAAAAAAATATAGAAAAAATTCTATAAACATACCACAATTTATCTAAATGTGCCACATAAATACATTAATTTCCAAAATATTAAATAAATACTTCAATTTGATTATTTTGTACCAAATATATACCAAATAGCGTCGTTAATAGATGACAATATATCAATTAGTGTCAAATAGATACCAAATCGGTATTGCCACAAATTGAACAAATTTTGATATTTATTTACCAATTTGAAAATTGATGTGTTTATATGTGTGACTGTCCAGGATACTTTAGGAGGTGGGGGAGTGATCGCCGTTGCGAGATGTATGAACAATGGGTGGTTCTTGACGAGCTTCTGGGTAGGGGATACAGGGATGAATCGAATGCAATGGAATGAGAGGAATCCAAGGGTTGTGTAGGTATGGGACTACACAGTCTAAGATAATTTAAAATGAATTAATTGAGCTACTCATAGCAATAAGATGTATCTACCTTTTCGGTTAGCCATCTCGAGAGAACTCCAAAGTTAAGCATGTTCGCTTTGGAGTAGTGTTAGAATGGATGACAATTCTAATGACCTCCTGAAAAATACTTTTCCGGATATGTACGAGTGAGGACAAAACACGCTAAAAGGTCTCGTGTTGGTGTGTAGGGACAACTCTATCATTCCGTAGCGGCCTCGGGTCGTTACAATATGACACATTTAATCAAAATTTTTTTGGGTAAAAACATTTAGTCAAAGTAACAATATTTTCCCTTAAAATATATCATCTATTGTTATTTTGCTCTCATTTTTTATTTATTTAGACATTCTCAATTTTCCAACCAGTTTGTTAGTTATTTATGAACATATCTGGATAGCTCTAGAAGGCGAACAGCACATGATGTGTTCAAATTACAATATATTTAACAAAGTTTTTGTAGTGACATTTTGTTGATTTTTTTTTTGGCAGTTTGTTTAATTGGTTGTAATGGTGAAACATGTGAGGGCTCATCCACGAGAAAGAATCACATATAATAATTTTTATTATTTTTTGTGCAGTTTGTTGAATTGTAATGTGAAGAAAATATTACATAAATATGAGATGACACATTCCGTGAACTTGAAAAAACTAAAATAAAATAAATAAATAAAAACATTTCACCCACAACATGCTGTGTCTCATGATACGTAATTAATGAATAAGATTCAATATTTTCTTTTCTACAGCCACAAATTGTAATAGTTATTGATTTTTAAAACTGTAATATATTTTTATACTCATTAAAATAATTTTTTATTTATTAGGATACAATTACTGTAAAAAATATCTGCAGTTTTTACAATGATTTTTTTGTTACATCTATGTTTTTATTAAAATTAAAAAAAAACAAATATGAAGTGATATTTAACAAAAAAAATCTAATCACTCCAACTGCAACACAAATTCTAAATTAAAATTACTGCAATACATAACCTTTAAAATAATATTACTTTAATATTAGTAAGTAAATTGACTTGATGGTTGATGCCCCAAATAGATGAAGAACGATTATTTTATATTTTGTGTTAGAATTATTGAAAACTTTTAAGAGTTTAGAGTTCGTACAAAGTACAAAAGACAGTTGGGAGACCTTCAAAGTCGTCGGTGACATGACACCTGGAGCGTCATTTAATTTTTAATTCGGTGACAATTTGATAAAATATAATAGGAAAAATCCCTTCAAAATTCTCAAAACCCTCCCAAATCCTCAAACAAATAACAATATATATATATATATATCCAAAATTTTAGATTTATAAAAGATTTATATAATTATTTTAATCCGTATATTTGCCATATTAATCAAACAAAATTAACAAAATTTAAAAATTGTTAATTTGATGTTGGTCTAAATTGACCATTTGTTCTACGATTTTTAATATACATTAATTTTTTTTATCATATGTAAATTAGTTATCAACATCTGAAAATATTACTAAAAAAACTATTAAAAATTTCGAAACTTTGTTTACTAAAACATCCTCCCAAATGCAAATGTTTTAGTTTGGTTCGTTTTTTTTTGTTTTAAAATTCTATTCGGATTTGATCGTTGATTTTTTAGAATTCAGAATATTAGATTTTTTACTGACATTTATCGAAGTTTTGTTGCTGGAAAAAAATAAAAGAAACATCGATAGAATTACTTAGGATTACAAAAGTTAAGCCCAAGAGGTCGTGCGGGGCTCAATACGAGACTACATGGGCCCCAATTGGGCCGGCCCAAACACAAAGACTCCATAAGTTAAGCCCAAAATATCGTGCGGGGCTCAATTTGACTACATGGGCTGAATTGGGCCGGCTCAAATACGACTCCATGCGTATAACCTAAAGACCCTCTTTCTGAAGTTGGCTGAGAGATGCGGCCGGTGCAACTGGACATGCTGGCGGAGATGGAAGACCAGGGCTCGACGATGGCGATGGACGTTGACGAAGCCGATGCCATGGAGATATTCGGCGAAGGAATTTTTTCCGCGGAGAGCAAGCTCGCCGACGCCGATTTCTTCAACGCCTTCGAGGATGATTTCGACGACACCGACATCAATTGATCCGCCTCCTTTTTCCTCCTGCAAGTGATGTATCTCCATCTCTTAGGGTTTCTATTTTACTTGGGGGTATCTTTCCTTTGAGCTGCGAATGCCTATGCAAGTATCGAGGAACGGGGATGAGTGTATTTGTGATTCTTCGTTTCTGATGTTTGTTAATCTACTACAACTTATGTTCATCCATCTTCTCTGTTGATTGCGTCTATGGTGGGGTTTTTTTTGTTTTCGTTGGTACTGCTTGGAATTGGAAACTCCGAGATGCTGTTAGCTTCAAGATGAATTTGCTGGTTTTATCGAGCTTTGCCTTCTTAGCTTCAAGATGAATTTGCTGGCTCTAGTCTAAACCCTAGGAAGCTATCCAGATTCTTCTTCAATGGTTATTTGCAGATTTCCATGGAAACTTAGGGGCAATGTTATGTTTCCAAAGAGTAACAATACACACCTGGGAATTGGCTTTTGCATTATTCGAACTGGTCCCGTGTGTGGATCTCTTCATATAGTTGTACTTCTAGTTTCCAACAATAGAGACTTGGGGTTGGAGATTTGAAGTGGAGCTTAGCTATAGATGCGTGACCACGAGAAGGCTCAGGACGTGAATTACGCACACGTGAAGCTCATGAAACAGGTTGCCCAGAAATGCGTCTTTCTGGGGAAAACGCTCTTC